CCGCCAGTCCCCGCGCCCCCCCCCCCAACCCGCGCACGCCCCTGCGCAAACGCGGCAATTGCGTTTACTGGCGTTCATTGAACGCGCGTTCAGCGCGTTTAAAACCTGAATGAGAAACCCGCGTTCAATGAACGCGCGGTAACACAGTGCACTCTTGATTAAGTTCAAAATTTTCCAAGAGGTAGAACTAAGTTTCATGTTGGTGGGACATACCCATACAGACGTTGATGCTACTTTCGACCTTTTCTCTAAGAAATTGAAAGACATAAACGCTTATACTATAGACGAGTTCTACGAGCTCATAGAGCAATCCCACAAAAAGTCTCCCAAATGTATTTTCCTCGATACGATAGCAGATTGGATAAGTATAGCAGACCCATGCGTTGCGTCGGACATTACTGGTATTTCAAAACCGCACTTGTTTAAATTTTTGATGGTTGGAGATAATCCGAGCGTGTTGTACAAGGAGTTTTGCAATAAAGACAACTGGTTGCCCAAGGAAGGTCCGATTTATTGGTTCAACTAAAACCCCGATGAAAGCTATGCAGGTCCTTCGTGGCCATTTGACCCGCCTCATGTGCAACCCCTTGCTGAAAATAACTATTGTAATGACAAAAATGGTGTTATTCGATTCCACGAATTGTTGGAGAGTAGGCGGTCAACGTGGTGCACTTACAATGATCATGAGGTGAGTAGGAGAGAAAAAACTTTCTGTTACTGGGAGGAGGTTATCAAACATGGCGATGAGATCATCGCCAACGAGTTGTCCTCACAACCTCTGGAAAGTTTTTGGCCAAGACCACGGCTTCTCGAAAGCGATCAACAACCTCCTCTTCACATTGCCAACATCGACGACAGGGAACCCGTGTTTGTTGGCCGAAAAAAAGATCGCCCAAAGACCAGTTTCGACCCCCTCGTACTTGTTGACGTGGACACTTTTCTTCTGTGTAGCACACCGAACATGTTCGGAGCTTTTCAGAACGTCCGAACATGTTCGGGTGTTTGGCTGAACGCCACCCGAACATGTCCGACCGAAAAAAAAAAAAAAAAAAAAAAAATTTAAAAAAAAAATATATATATATATATATATATATATATATATATATATATTTTTAACTCGAGTTTGGTTATGAATTTGACAAAACCTTCAAGGCAAAAGTGGTTTGTATTATTATTTTACATAACATACATTTTTGTTCAGATTTGTTGGAGATTTTTTTTTTTTTTATTTTTTTTAATGTTTGCGTTCGGAGAGTTTCGGCGCTCGTTCGCGTTCGGTCCCGAACACGATGCTACACAGCTTTTCCTATCCTTCGCCCCTCCGACGATGATCTGTCCAGCGGTGTGTCAATGTGGGTGGCAGTGGGTGCCGACAGGGAGAGAAACGTCGCTCCAACAACTCTATGAGAACGCATGAGAGACACGATGAAAAATGACTGAGCAGACACAATAGCAGGATGCTGACTCGATCGTTTTTTGTTGGGAGAGACTGGCCAGAGGTACAAAACCGTTCGCGACTAGACTTGTCATTCCTTCCAATGTTCGACTGAATGTTGAAGCTGCACTTTGAGATCTGAGTCCATCTGCAGAAGGGATTGTTGATGTAGGGGACAAGAGCGACGATTGCACGTCCGCCGAATAGATTGAGGGAGTAGGATTTTTGCAAATGACTGTTCGGACGGGAATTCGGAAGGGAACATATTCTTTTTAACTTAGTGAATTTCGATGATTTTGCGGTACGACAAGGTGACGGATTTTGTCCACGGTCTACGGTTGATTTTTTTTAAATGGTTGTGTGATGGTTTAACAATTTTTGAAGTTAAGTTAATCGTGAAGGCGATTCCTTAACTTTTTCGACATTTCATTTTTGGTTGTGTTTGTATTTCATGTCTGGTGTAGGGAGTGTGACAAGAGTCATGACCCATTGGCATGAATATTTGTATCTCATTCACCCTTATGCATGCGGATTGCGTGGTGCGGGCGGCGATACCGAAATTCTCGAGCCCATGACAAAGGAGTTCGAAAACGATACGTGGATGAGCGTCGCCCCCTTCTTGGACAAGCCTCTCGATGCGTGGTCCGAGGCAGAATGGGATAGAGCGATCTTGGCGAGGAAATGTCCATGGCATAAGGAGTACAAGTTTGCTTCCGCGATAGAGTGGGGGAGCCTAATCAAAGTACCTCATTATGCCATTGGCGTTAGACAACTTTCGTCCCTGCGCGCTGCACTCAGACAGGAAGAGAATAAGCGGTTTTACCTTCGCCTGGACAACATCACGAGGTCATCTCGCGTATGGTCTGCAGACTTGAAACAAGATTTGTTGGACTGTGCATCCTACAATCCATTTTTTGAAGTATATCCGCTGCGTGGCGCCGGAATACGGTCAAAGGATGTGTCGTACTGTAGCATATGGTTGTTTGTGGCCGGTTTCGACTTCTGCAGAGTGTTGTGTGTGGTTTCGACTTTGGTAGACGCTATAGTGCTAGTTCCTTGCAACGAGCTTAGAATCTATGGTAGCAACACGGGGAATTTGCGTCTTCTCTACGAGAACGGACAGTCCGATTTAGACATTGTGGGTAAAATAGATGAGGTTCATAAGTGGCATGAGGTAGAGCAAGTGGCATGTTGTGTGCGTGACGTCATCAGTAAGTCCTTGACAGGAGTCGGTAGGTTTGTAAGGATGAAATACATTTCAGTCTTCTCGAATGTGGCGACGAGGGGACAACCATAAACCCTTGCTTTCGGGTCGTCAATGAATGTCTTATACGGGTTTGGTTCTCAAGGGACGTGGAGACGCTGGTAAAAACTTTAAATTTGTAAATGATAGCGTTTTAAAACGTTTAGACTACGACCGCTCGTAGCATTTATTTTAGATGTAGTTCAATCGTGAGTTGACTTGTAGTATTTAATTTAGACGTAGTTGAATCTTGAATTTATGATTTCGTGCATGTGCCCATACAATTTTCAACTTTTAATTTTTCATGATTACGATGTTTCTTGAAGTGAGAAGGAATCCATGGTGCTCACTTGGATTTAAGTTTAATATGACAATGCCATGTCAATTTATGATTATTTGTCGAAGTGCTCAGGAATCCATTCTCAAACCAGATTGTTTACCGGATAATTGCGTTTACTTTTCAATTGACTTCTAGTTTCTGCCTCACACAATATCATGTGAAGTTCATCCTACTCAATGCTCAGTGATATACCAAATTAATCAAAGTGTGATGCAGATTTTGAGGTCATTCACAATCTTGTCGTTCATTGTCTCTTTATGTTCACTATTCGAGTGAATTTCAATGTATGACAATGACATGCTAGTTATGTCTTTTAAGTAACATAAATTGCGATGGAGTCCAAAATTATCGAAGTGCGATGAAATCCATACTTAAACCATCTCGTTTACCGTGTGATGGTCTTTACCCTTCGATTGAGTTCCAATTTATGCAAGTCACTTCAGTTACGTATTTCAAGTTAGTACATAAACTATCGAAGTGCGATGAAATCCATACTCAAACCATCTCGTTTACCGTGTGATGGTCTTAAAGTTTACTCTTCGATTGAGTTCCAATTTATGCGAGTTACACTGATTACGTTTTTTAAGTTACTGCATAAATTATGGAAGTGCGACGGAATTCATACTTAAATCATCTTGTTTATCATGTCATTGCCTTAAAGTCACACTTCGGTTTAGTTCCAATAAATTAATACAAGTCACAATGTCATCTAAAATAGGTCCGACTCAATGCTCACACCAAATTGAGCAAGGTGTGATGAAATCGAGAGTTCAACATTGTTGTTAAGTGTCTCATTGCATTGAGTGCAACAGTTGAATTTTTCGCGAGTTTCAATTTCTGACAACTCCATGTTATTACCGTAACGACTTTTAAGTTACAAAATTTATGGACGCGTAATGGAATTCACACTTA